AACGGGAGGGTCCACTAATGGCAGACCGTCCGTTCTACGTACTGGAACGGACGGTCCACGTGCATTTCTGGACCGTCCGTTCCGGACTTCAGGTTTTTCCAAAATTAAACCGAAATTAGGGTTGAATCACCTTATAAGAAGGAGATTAAAAAACCTAATTGGGGTGGCCGACTTTAGAACTTTTCTACAGACTTTTTGGGAGATCCAAGAGGTTTGGAAAGTGATTGAAGTCTCTTTTTCTCGAAGCACAAAACGAGTAGTAGATTCGGGTCCTAACAGACAAGTTCCAACCGTTGGAATCCATCCCGATGTGTGGATACGTGTAGAGGGCGAGGTATTCTTCCTCCCTTTCGTGATCAGACGAATTCTTCAATTGATACAGGCTCTGGATCGATTGAGGTAAACGTTCTAACGTTTCTATGATTCATAGAAGCATGGTTCTAGGGTTTCATTCAAATTTTTGTTTTACATCCGCTGCACAAACCCTAGAATCGATTTCTTAGGAATAGGATTCGCTCTAGAGATCCCAGGAAACCCAACACAGTTGTTGAGCGTTAGTTTTGAATGAACCTCTGGAATGATCCCATAGTTCGATTGCACCACTTGGTGATACGGATTTGATCTTGAACGGACCAGACCACTGGGATTTCAACTTTCCTGGAAAATGTCGCAATCGTGAGTTAAACAAAAGGACAAGATCGTTTACCTGGAAGTTACGCTGGAGGATATGCTTGTCGTGCCATTTCTTCGTCCGCTCTTTGTAGATTTTTGCGTTTTCATACGCATCAAGGCGGATTTCCTCGAGATGATGGAGCGAGAGAACTCGTTTCTCGGCTGCAGATTTGAGATCGTAGTTCAACTGCGTGATGGCCCAATAAGCTTTGTGCTCCAATTCCACGGGAAGATGGCACGCCTTGCCGTAGACGAGTTGGAACGGTGTCATCCCAATGGAGGTTTTGAATGCCGTGCGATAAACCCAAACGACATCATCGAGCTTGAGGGCCCAATCTTTTCGGGATCTGGATACCGTCTTTTCGAGTATGGACTTGATCTCGCGGTTGGAAACTTCGACTATTCCACTGGTTTGAGGGTGATAAGGCGTTGTAATTTTGTGTTTGACACCGTATTTGAGCAGGAGTGCTTTGATCGTGTGATTGATGAAATGCGATCCTCCATCGCTGATGATGACACGGGGAACACCGAATCGTGGGAAGATCGTGCGTTTGAGCATGCGCACTACGGTCTTGTTGTCTTTCGTGGGACTTGCCAGGACTTCCACCCATTTAGTCACGTAGTCAACCACAACCATAATGTACAGATTTCCGCAAGAAGAGGGGAAAGGTCCCATAAAATCTATGCCCCAGACATCAAATGGTTCTACCTCAAGAATATATTGTTGGGGCATTTCATGATGACGGGATATGGTACCCGTACGCTGGCAAGCGTCACATGAAGAAACAAACCTGTGGGCATCTTTGAAGAGAGTAGGCCAATAGAAACCAACCTGAAGGATTTTTGCCGCAGTTTTGGACATCGCAAAGTGGCCTGCGTAGTCAGAAGAATGACAATGGGAAATAACACTGAAGATCTCACCTTCAGGGATGCAGCGGCGGAATAGACCGTCGGTTCCCCTCTTGAAGAGGAAAGGATCGTCCCAGAAATAGTTCCTGACATCGTGGAGAAATTTCTTCCTGGCATTGTAACTCAGATCTGGTGGAAGGATTTTACTTACTAGGTAATTGACGTAATCATCATACCATGGGGCTTCTAGAAGAGTATAAATGGCGAAGACATGCTCATAGCAAAGATTGTCATCAATGGGAAGTTGCTCCGGAAGTTCAAGGCATGACAAGTGATCAGCTACTCCGTTCTCGGCTCCTTTCTTGTCCCGGATCTCAAGGTCGAACTCTTGAAGAAGCAATATCCAACGGGTGAGGCGTGGTTTAGCATCCTTCTTGGAGAGTAAATATCGCAGAGTGGCATGATCGGTGTAGACTATGACTTTGGAACCGACAAGGTAGGACCTGAATTTTTCAAATGCAAAGACAACGGCAAGCAGTTCTTTCTCAGTCGTAGTGTAGTTTACCTGAGCATCATCCAAAGTTCTGCTGGCATAGTAGATCACATGAAAAACTTTATTCCGTCGTTGTCCAAGTACGTCTCCTACTGCATAATCGCTGGCATCACACATAATTTCGAAAGGCAGATCCCAATCTGGCGGTTGAATGATGGGCGGGAAAATCAACGCCTTTTTGAGTGTTTCAAAAGCTGCAAGGCAATCATTAGTGAAAACGAAAGGCACATCCTTACAGAGGAGATCGGTAAGAGATTTGGTGATTTTGGAGAAGTCCTTGATGAAGCGACGATAGAAACCGGCGTGACCAAGGAAACTGCGGATGGCTTTAACATTGTGCGGGGGCGGTAATTTCTCGATCACTTCGATTTTAGCCCTATCAACCTCGATGCCTTTGTCGGAGATCTTGTGTCCGAGGACGATGCCTTCCTTTACCATGAAGTGGCACTTCTCCCAATTGAGCACTAGGTTGGCCTGCAAACATCTATCCAGAACTTTACGCAGATTAGTCAGACAAACATCGAAGGAAGGTCCATGGACAGAGAAATCATCCATGAACACTTCCATCGAATCTTCAATAATGTTAGAGAAGATCGCCATCATGCATCGTTGAAAAGTAGCAGGGGCGTTGCAAAGCCCAAATGGCATGCGCCGATAGGCGAAGATCCCGTAAGGGCAAGTGAAAGTTGTCTTCTCCTGATCATTAGGGTGAATAGGGATTTGAAAGAATCCCGAGTAGCTGTCAAGAAAACAAAAATAAGAATGAAGAGCAAGACGTTCAAGCATTTGATCAATGAAAGGTAGAGAAAATGATCTTTGCGAGTGTTCGCATTTAGCTTCATGTAATCGATGCACATACGCCAGCCCGACACTGTTCTTGTTGGAATTAGCTCATTTTTGTCGTTTTTTATCACCGTCATACCGCCTTTCTTTGGGACGACTTGAACCGGACTTACCCAAGGGCTGTCGAATATAGGATAAATGATACCTGCATCCAAAAGTTTTAGTACATCTTTCTTGACGACTTCCTTCATCGATGGATTGAGTCTGCGTTGATGTTCGATGGATGATTTGGAATCGTCCTCCAAATGAATTCGATGCATGCACAATGAAGGGTTAAGACCTTTGATATCATCTAGAGTGTACCCGATAGCTTTTCGGTAGTCTCGCAATGTGGTGAGGAGACGCTCGAGCTGTAGATCATCCAAGGCAGCATTGACGATAACAAGATAAGTGGAATCGAGACCGAGAAATGCATACCTGAGTCCAATGGGCAAGGGTTTTAGCTCGAGCTTCGGAGCGATTACAGGATCCCAGTCAGGTAGATGATTCATGGAGGTTGATTTGGCGGCGAAGACGGGCAACGATTCGAACAGAGGAACAGGCTGGAAATGAATCCGAGAATCGACACGGTCCGAGTTCACACTCGACACGGCCGTATCGAGTTATGCACGGGCTGGCCCGGAATGATGCACGGTCGTGTCTGTCCTCGCACATTTTCTCAGACAATTGACACGGTCCGTGTCGAATGAAGACACGGCCGTGTTGCATGAAACACGGTCTGAGCTGGTGTCAAACACGGGCGTGTCACGTTCGATGATTTTTGGCAGAATATCGACACGGTCTGTGTTTGTATTCGACACGGCCGTGTTGCATGGCATTTCATCTAAACCGTCTAGGAATGACGTGTACGCGTGAATTTGAGGCTCTGTAAAGGTATTGCAACCCTGTTCAGCAAAAAGAGCAACAGAGAGGACATCGAAATCACGAAATTCAAAGAGTACCTCATCGGCTAAAGCATCCATCAAGCCATGTAACATAAAGAGTCCACTGTAGATGGTTGCTTGAAATTCTGGTCGAGCGTGAATTCCACTGTTTCGTCGCCGATCTTGAGTGTCAGTCGACCGACACGAATGTGGACAATGGCATCTGCAGTGTTTAAGAACGGCCGCCCTAGAATAATCGGGATTTTGGAGTCTTCGTCCATGTCAAGCACAACGAAATCGATCGGTACGTAGTAATCGCTGACTTTCAGCGGGACGTCCTCAAGAATACCCAGAGGATATTTGACAGAACGATCAGCTAGTTGAAGAGCCATGCGAGTTGGTTTGAGTTCTCCCACGTTGAGTTTCTTGTAGATGGAGAGTGGTAGGAGACTTACACTGGCACCTAAATCACAAAGAGCACGATCTATAGAAATATTTCCCAATTTACAGGGAATCGAGAAGCTATCTGGACCCGACATTTTCGGTGGTAGATCGTGCTGAAGAATGGCGCTGCACTCGGGATTAAGCGTGATGGTTTCCTTCTCGATGACGCGCTTCTTTGTGAGAATGTCCTTTAGGAATTTGGCGTAGGATGGCATCTGAGTGATAACCTCGTGAAATGGCATAGTGATCTCCAACTTACGCACCATGTCAGCAAATCGAGCAAATTGGGTGTCTTCTTTAGTTTTCTTGAGTCGTTGAGGGAAAAGAACCGGAGGCAGACGTGGTGGCGGTGGTATGTATACGTCGCGTTCTTCATTACTCGAGATCTCTGTCGATTTTTGAGTTGCTATAGGGTCAGGAAAAGATGTAGGAACAGAGTTAGAGCACTGACCTTTTTCCTAGATGTGATGATAGGGTTAACGAGCTCTTTGCCACTGCGCAAGGATACAACGTTACAGTGCTCTCGGGGGTTTGCTTCCGGGTTCCCGGGAAGTGATCCTTGAGCTCACGAAGGGATAGAGGCAGCGAGTTGCGCTATCTGGTTGTCAACTAGCTTGAGATGGGCGTCGGTCTTCTGCTGATGTTCTCGCATCTCGGTGCGAATGGCTTCTTGACCCTGCATAAGTTGTGCAAGCATAGACTTGATGTCGGAGTCAGGAATTACCTGTGATTGAGATGGAGGCAGACCGAAATTTTGCTGAGGCTGATGGGGTGCTCGGTCGTGTTGAGGGGCTGGGTTCTGATGCTGGTAGGCATTTCGGGTTTGAGATGATTTCCTTGAGAGGAGCCCGGGATAGATGAACTGCTGAAATTGTTGTGCTGTGCATTTAGAGCGTTAGAGGAGTTATTGTATGAGAAATTTGGGTGATTCCTCCAACCCGGATTGTATGTGTTCGAGTACGGATTGTTGGCGACGTAGCTGACATCTTCATGCACGTACTCGTCTCGTGATGCGTCCAGATCAGTGATTTGATGGGCGTTTTTTACCTGCATTCTAAGTTTGGCCAGCTCTGCACGTAAAGCATGTATTTCAGATGGACTTTTCTTACCTGCACGGTTGTCCTTAAAACCAATATTTCTGACGAATTCGTGGGAAGGAGCACACTCGTTAGCCATCTTAGTGATTTGTTGTTCGATGAAGTCAAAAGACTTCTCGTGAGAAATCACTTTAGAAAAAGAAAAACAAAAAGATCTAGACTCAACAATTAACCGCAAGTGTACGGATCGTGTGTAGTAGCTAGGGTCGAATATAGGGACAAAATTAAGCAAAGGAGTTAAACCCAAATCCAAATCTAAATCCAAGAAAAATAATAGGAATGTGGAGAATGGAATGTCGAGAACAAAGCAATTAACTAAAACGGTTGTAGACAATCAATGGAAAACACTGCAGGCTTCGGGATTGCTTTACATGAAAGGATCTTTCAAAAGATGCAAACGAAGTGGTTTATCTATCCAATTCAGGGAACTCAAGCTCTAAAGTAGACCGCAAGTGTACGGATCGTGTGTAGTAGCTAGGTCGAACACATGGACAAGTAAACAACTGAATCAAATCTAAATCGAAGTCTAAATCTAGGGAAAATAATATGAGTGTGAGAAGGTAACAAAGCAAACGATAAAACGATTCTAAAGACTATGAATGAAGAACACTGCAGGCTTCGGGATTGCTTTACATGAAAGGATCTTTCAAAAGATGCAAACGAAGTGGTTTATCTATCCAATTCAGGGAACTCAAGCTCTAAAGTAGAGATTAACTCTCTCAAGTCTAATCTCACTATTCAGGCTTTATCCTACTAATTTCTCGATTCAATAGTCTAAAACCCTGGATGCATGAACGAACGCTATCATAATCCCTAGGCAAATATTCATCTCTCGATGCAATACTTGTTCCATTTACTGAGTTATTTCCAGGTTAGAATCTCATATGTCTATGCGAATTAAAACCCTAAGTTCATTCAATCAAGTGGCCAACAAGATCAAACGCATTAAACGCAACTCAATAAACCGAATAGAATAAATAAAACCACAAAGTCTGGAATTAGAAACGAAAGATCCCTACATAGCAAATCTCTAACCTACATCAAAGGAACTACTCGCTAAACATCGAGACGTCAGGGTTCATATCAATACAACAAAACATCGTAAAATAGAAGGAAAGAGGAACGCTTAGTCGATTTCTCGGCTTCGTGATCTCCGTCTTCTACTCCGATCTCTTGCTTCTTGATAATCGCCCCCTTTGTGTGCTCTAGGGTGTATTCTCTGTGTAAAGCTTGAATGAATTTCGACCTAGAGGCTTTCCCCTCTCATTTCCCTTCGGTTTGGACAAAATTGGAAGTTTTCCCGAATCTGGGGGTCAAACCGATCGTTTCGGCAAAGGCAAACCGATCGGTTTCACTTTCTGAGCAATTTTTCAACTTCTACGATGATGAAGCGATCGTTTCGTCCATCCTGAAACGATCGTTTCGTGTCTCTGAGCAGTTTCGACGGGCTTCACGAATTCGCTCATAACTTCTTGCTCCGATATCGGATTTGGGTGATCTTGGTGTCTATGCGTAGATATTGAGAAGAGCTTTTCAATGATGTAGAGAATCTTGTTTTGGACTTGTGGAGTGAAAGTTATTGAACTTGCAAATTCAGACGTTTTCTGAGCTTCACGTTTTCCCTAGAAACACTCCAAATGTTCCCGTTTCATCCGTGATGTTCCGTAGCCCATGTTTTCCACTCCTTTTGCTTTTTTATGCGTGAAAACCTGAATTTCATATAGTCTTTTATGGCCTTAAACACCAAAGAAGATAACCATGCAATGTCGAAGCCAAATGTGCCCTACAATGCCTGCAAATATGTAGAATAGAGTGAAATACGCTAGACATCCTATATCAAAACGTCGCCCAAAATACGTGTTATCAAACTTCCCCAGACTTAAACCTTTGCTTTTTTTTTTCTTTTGCTAGCATCTCAGGTTCCTAGGACGTTGAAGTTGAGGGGTTCCTAATCAATATTTTTTTTCGATTTTGTTTATTGGATAACCCAACCCACAACTTAGACCCGAACCATCAAATCGATGCACTCATGTCCTCGAACGATATTCGTTGACGAGATAATGACAGCGGAGTATCGAGATGCTCACTATCTTTTTCTGCACATGAAAAAATAAGAATGCATTTGATAATAGACTTTGTCAATTTCAGCAAACATGGAAAATATTATTATAGAAACTTTTCTACCTGACTAGACAATATCGGTTCCATGGGTTCCAAACAACGATTTTTATCCCACAAGCCATTCTAGACAATCCTAAAGGTCAAGCAATCAATTCAACAAAACATAACCACGTTCAACGGATCACAGTGTTTTCAGGATGTTTCTACTCTCTCATGCCATAGATCATCACATCAATGCTCAAAACGGTTTTATGCACGTGATTTTATATGTCCTAAACACTATATGAAATTGCACAATCCTAACAACAAACTATATGATCCTAATGCATCCTATATGCACATGCAACTAAAAAGTGAAAATAAAAGAGAAAAATGCATGCAACACTACTCTATATGGATATGGTTTGGCGTTAGACGAATCCTCACCCAGACTTGAACTAGACACTGTCCTCGGTGTCAATTCTCATCTAGTAGAGGCAACCAATAAGATGAGTCAAGAGAGAAGTAAATCAAAAAGAGAAAAGAATACTTAGCTCGCGATGTTCGTTCACTCGCACTTAAGTCTGCCTACGTCTGTCGCATAGCTAGCTTCCTTGCCTCCTCGACAACTCCTCATTAGAACTCAACCTGGTGATAAGAGACACAAACCAATATCCGATGCAAAAAAGAAAAGAAAGAAAAGAAAAACTAACCTACAAACTCGGGTTGCCTCCCGGAAGCGCCTGTTTAAGGTCGTTAGCTTGACCGAATCTTCTCAACTACCATAGGGGTCTAACAGGCGAAGATTATCGATCTTTCGCCAACCTGGATCAAGAGGTGTATGAGAATGGTGGTCTGATAGACTAGTGTCCTCTTTAACAGGGTGAGAGAGGTCATAACGCCCATGCGAGATGAAAATGAGGCGTTGTATCGTGCTGGGGTCTGAACCGATCGGTTAGAGAATGCAGAGACAGCCAGGAGGTTTGCCTAGAAGCAGCCACCCTTGAAAGAGTGCGGGTAGAACCAATCGGTTCCAAGTTCTGTAACTCCGAAACTCGAAAGAGGTGCTCGAACCGATCGGTTTCACAATACGACACGATCGGTTTGAGTTTCTGTAACTTTTTGCTTTGAACTCTGTTTTCGAAACGATCGGTTGAAGGTCGTGAACCGATCGGTTCGACTTTCTGTAGAATTTTGGCTTTGAGATCATGCTCAAACCGATCGGTTTCCTGGCCCGAAACGATCGGTTCATACTTCTGAGCTGAATTGTCGAGTGTGTTTATGAAGCAAGGATCCTGTTGATGACAGTTGTTTGAGATTTTTGTCCAAAGTGAACTCCACCGTCTCATCTCCAATCTTCATTGTTAGTCTACCTGCTCTAACATGGATAACATCATCTGCAGTGTTAAGGAATGGACGACCAAGGATGATAGGTACCTTAGAATCTTCGTCCATGTCGAGAACCACAAAGTCAACCGAGATATAGAAATTCCCGACTTTCAGCGGCACATCCTCGAGTATCCCAGTGGGGTATTTGATAGAACGATCGGCAAGTCGGAGAGTCATTCTAGTGGGTTTCAGCTCACCCACATTCAGCTTCTTGAAAATCGATGACGGAAGAAGACTGACGCCAGCTCCTAAATCACAGAGTGCACGATCGATGGAAACATTACCCAATTTACAAGGGATTGAAAAGCTACCTGGATCGGACCGCTTAAGCGGGAGCTCGTGTCGGATCAAAGCGCTGCATTCGGCAGTAAGCGCCACAGTTTCTTTCTCAGTGACCCTCTTCTTGGTCAGAATGTCCTTGAGGTACTTCGTGTACGAGGGAATCTGCAAAATAGCGTCAGTAAATGGCATGGTTACCTCGAGTTTCTTCAGCATCTCAACGAACTTCGCGAATTGGCTGTCTTCGTTGTGCTTTCTCAGGCAAGATGGAAACGGTACTGGTGGTGGTCTAGGAGGAGGAGGCACGTAAGCTGGCTCAGGTGTATCATCAGCAGTGTCTAAAACTGTGGTTCTCGGACTATCGCCTTGCTCAACCATCGGTGGATCTCCAGAATCTACCTGGTTACCACTTCTCAAGGTAATAGCATTGACATGCGCACGAGGGTTAGTCTCAGAGTTACCTGGAAGAGACCCAGATGGTCTTTGAATGGCTGATGCTAGCTGAGCAATCTGGTTGTCTATGTTCTTGAAGTGAGCCTCGATGCTTGCAAACTGAGCTCGAAATTCCTGATTCGTCTTCTCTTGACTCTGCAAAAACTGTATAAGGAGACCGTACGTATTAGGGTTAGATTCGAGATTACCTGGAGATGCAACATTGTTGTAGGATTGTCTCGGAGCTCTGTAGTTGGATGTCTGATTAGGACCCCTAGATTGAAAAGCAAACCCGGGAGGAATCCTCTGGTTCGAGTTGTCGGATACTCTGAAGTTGTTCGACGCGGGATTCTCAACACTGTTTGACTTGTATGAGAGATTGAGATGATTTTTCCACCCCGGATTGTACGCGTTCGAGTAGGGGTTGTTGGCCACATAGTTCACACCTTCGATTCTCTCATCTAGTGCGTACATACCGAGCTCCTCTTGTGTTGGCGTCGAATGTTCGGTCCTAGAGGATCTAGTGGAATCTTCGAGCTTAGCATTGAGGACAGCCAATTGTTCGAGAACCATCTGTATGATTTGATCATTGTCTTTCCTTGGCAAATCTCTAGAGTACTCATTCGGAGCATCTTCTTCTTGGGCCATCATCTTAATATGTTCTTCTAGCTCAGCGAATGACTTGTTCTGGATGCTCCCACCGCAAGATGCCCGGATCAAGGTCTTTATCCATCTTGAGTCCTCGGAAGAAGGTGTTGATCAGGTAGTTCTTATCTAGTCCGTGATGAGGGCAAGACTTTTGATATCCCTTGTACCTCTTCCAAGCGTCATAAAGACTTTCCCCATGATCTTGTTTGAATGAATGAATGCCAGAAAGAGCAGCTTGAGTGCGGTGAGCTGAAATTTTTTTTGACATAAACTGCACTTCCAACTGTTCCCAGATGTGGATGGAATCAGGTATCAAATCATAGCACCATTCCAAAGCAGCATCCAGGAGAGTCCAGGGAAAAGCAATTAAGCGAAGTGTATCCTCTGTCACCCTGTTATCTCTCTTGATAGAACGGCACATCATCTTAAAAGCGAGTTAAATGTGCGTTTGGGTCTTCGTTCGGCCTACCCCGGAAAGCATTGTTGCCCAACATCTGAATAGTAGACGGGTTCAGCTCGAAACTAGACATGTCGATGGCCGGTAATCGAATACCAGCCAAAAGCTCAGTGTGCTTAGGCGTGTTGTACTGGGCAAAGGTTGAGTCAACATTGCCTTCGAGCAAAATCTTGGTTGTTCTCCATCTATCTTTGCTGTCGTCGGAGGCGTGTGATGGTTCTTTCAAGTTCAGGATCAAGAGGTACTAGGTTTGATATCCTAGAACTCCTGGTCATGCACTAATGCATGTTTTGGACTTGTGGAGTGAAAGTTATTGAACTTGCAAATTCGGACGTTTTCTGAGCTTCACGTTTTCCCTAGAAACACTCCAAATGTTCTCGTTTCATCCGTGATGTTCCGTAGCCCATGTTTTCCACTCCTTTTGCTCTTTTATGCGTGAAAACCTGTTTAAACACCAAAGAAGATAACCATGCAATGTCGAAGCCAAATGTGCCCTAGAATGCCTGCAAATATGTAAAATAGAGTGAAATACGTTAGACATCCTATATCAAAACGTCGCCCAAAATACGTGTTATCAGTGACTCCTTGAACCGTCTTCATAGACTGGCATTGCAGTTTGAATCGAGTCAGATGGGGAATTGGGTCTTCATTAGATCTGCCCCTAAATGCCGATGAGCTGAGCATACTTGATGAGGACATCGGATGTAACAACATGTCGTAAAGAAGATCTTGGCGGAAGCATACACAGAGCAAAGGTAACGGCAAACCGAGTTCCACAACCGAGTTCCACCTCGGATCGAAGCCACCAAGTAAAAGGAAGTTTCTTGGAGTGCAAAACAATTATCCAAAGGAAGCTTCTTCATCATCAAGGCAACTCCAACAACTAGCTTCCCAACCACCTCATTTAATGCAACATCAAGGAA